TGACCAGCATCACAAATGTTGAGCCCAAAACTGAGCCGGCCTGCGTCTCTCCTGTTCAGACACCTACACCTGTCAATGATTTATCAAAAACAGAACACACTAAAAGCTCATTCCGCATCCACAGAATGAGGAGAATGGGGTCGGCCTCCAGGAAAGGAAGAGTCTTTTGCAATGCGTGTGGCAAAACTTTCTATGACAAAGGTACTCTTAAAATCCACTACAATGCTGTTCACCTGAAAATCAAGCACCGGTGCACTATTGAGGGCTGCAACATGGTCTTCAGCTCTCTCAGAAGCCGCAATCGCCACAGTGCTAACCCCAACCCCCGCCTCCACATGCCTATGCTAAGGAATAACCGCGATAAAGATCTAATTCGTGCTACATCAGGTGCTGCCACTCCGGTCATAGCAAGTACAAAATCCAACCTAACTTTAACAAGCCCTGGGCGTCCACCAATGGGGTTTACCACTCCCCCTTTAGATCCTGTACTACAGAACCCTCTTCCCAGTCAGCTGGTGTTCCCGGCTTTAAAGACTGTCCAACCTGTTCCTCCTTTTTACAGAAATTTACTTACTCCTGGAGAGATGGTGAGTCCTCCAACCTCACTCCCTACCAGTCCAATAATACCAGCAGTGAGTGGCATGGAACAGCATCCCCCTCCTCCTTCAGAGTCATCAGTACCTTCGGTGCTGATGACCACCCCAGAGCCTAATGCTGACCTCGCCCCCAAGAAGAAGCCAAGGAAGTCAAGCATGCCAGTTAAAATTGAAAAGGAAGTTATCGATACTGCCGATGAGTTTGATGATGAAGATGAAGAGGTGAACGACAGCAGCACAATGGTGAATGACATTGGTCATGACAATCACTGTCATTCTCAGGAGGAAATGAGCCCAGGCCTGTCTGTGAAAGACTTTTCCAAAAGTGACAGAAGCAGATGCATTTCCAGACCAGACATAAGAAGGGCAGACAGCATGACATCCGAGGACCAGGAGCACGAGAGAGACTATGAAAATGAGTCAGAGTCATCAGAGCCCAAATTGTGTGAGGAATCCATGGAAGGCGATGATCGCCTCCATGAACCTGGTGAAAAATCTATGATGCACAGTGACAGACCAGATGAAAACCACAATGACTCTTCCAACCAGGATGTCATTAAGGTGAAGGAAGAGTATACAGACCCTACATATGATATGTTCTACATGAGCCAATATGGACTGTACAATGGAGGCAGTGCCAGTATGGCTGCCCTTCATGAAAGTTTCGCTTCTACATTCAACTACAGCAGCCCTCAGAAGTTCTCCCCAGAAGGTGAAATGTGCTCCAGCCCAGACCCCAAGATCTGCTATGTGTGCAAGAAAAGTTTCAAGAGCTCCTACAGTGTGAAGCTTCACTACAGAAATGTTCATTTAAAAGAGATGCATGTCTGCACAGTGGCTGGCTGTAATGCTGCGTTCCCATCACGGAGAAGCAGAGACAGGTCAGTAAATATTAATTGATTTTCTACATTATTAAATGTGTTGAATTATGTAAGAATAGGCAGTTTAGGATATATGAAGAAATAGAGAGATGCACAGTAATGACAATTGACAGTCGTATTCCCATGACATTGAGAGTGTTATCACATTAAGATTTTCATTGTTGCTTGGCATTCAGAATAGTATATATTTTGCCATTCTCTTAAGTGACTGGCTAGATAATAAATGTCATTGTTCTGTGTGCCTGTGAACATGTGTATTCTACTTCTGTTTATAAGCTGCAGCTTTTATTACATTTATTTTCTTCTCCCTGCAACTTTTAAAACAAGAAAAGCTTCTATTAAATATATAGTAAATTACATACAATGCAAATATCGCCATGCATGCATATCAAACCATAGAACTAGGAAGGAGGGGAAGGGGTGGATGGGCATTTGGATGAATGGATAGCAAGAGAGAACGGAAGGGCTGGAATAAAAGAATTATTTCCATCCCCACAGGGTCATATAAAAGCAAACAGGAAACATTAGAAGACAAGTCTTTCTTCTCTTCAATTTTTAAAACTAGCTGCTATGTGGTAGCAGGGAAAGTAAATATTAAGAAAATTATTGTCTGTTTCTTTAGTAGAACTATACACCTCTCTATCCACTGTGGTCATTTAGTCTACTTTATCTTCTTTTCTGCATGTGAGCAACTCCCTTCCCTACTGATGGGAATTATGCACATGCGGAGAGGAGAGGCTAGACCCCTACATGTTTTTGAGATCAACCAGGGTATATTCTGCTGGCCCTTTGGATGACATCATGCCCTAGCTATGCTGCATCAATACTGAAACAGTTGGGCTTAAACAGAAGCAGCTGGTCCTTAAACTCTTAGGTGTTTTTTTTGGTACACTATTTTTTTTTATTCCGGAGGAAAATGTAATATAAATGGAATTTGTCAAGGTGGTAGGATAGCACAGTTATTTCATGCTTGTGAATGAAAGCTCTGACATGTGATGATGATCGTATTGTCACGTAACAAAGTCTCTGTGGTTCATGGAGTGATTGTGAGATAGGGTCATCTATTTTCCTTCACTGTGTTTCATGTTTTTTCATTATGTTATAAATATTCAGCTGACGCAGGAAGGAAATTAAACCTAGCTAAGTGTTTCACACACAGTTCCTCTTCTTTTTTTTCATTGAAATTAGTACAATTTGAAAGTGAATATATCATGTCATATAAAATGAAAACAAGTTAGTGTTGAGGATACTGAGGAGCCAAAATTCACTGTTTTGATGAACAGTCCAGTCCCCAAATATCTCATGTCTCCTGTTACCATTTATGAAATCCACTGAACAGAGAAATAGGAAATCACGTAAGAATACAATTTCAGAACAGATAAGAAGGACAATCTAGAAAATGTGCATTGCAATAGGATGAAACAACTGTACATGAAGCAGGTAAAACTAAATTAAGACTCCCTTCTTGGGGTATCCTGATAACTTTTATGAGACTCAAGTTTGACAAGGGAAGCATGTGAGTCAGTGGCATAATCTATACTGAGTTTAGAAGTGTAAAACCCCTTTCAGTTCCTGAAATTGTACAGGTTTTTTTAGTCAAGAATTTGGCTTGGTTGGTCTGTTTTCTCAAGTGAATTATGAAAACTCAGTCATGTACTAAGCAAAACTGCTTTGCATTCAGCATGTGAAGTAAGAAGTGGCTAGCTTTAGGATTTGGAACTTTATGCAAGGTATTAAATTTTAGCAGGAATCCATTGATAGATCATGCTAATAGTAAAGTTAGCATAGTAAATATTCGTGCGTTCTAAGAAAGAGATGGCTGTGATGACATAAAACATTTCTGAGACATGAACATTAAAAAAGGGCATGTTTTGAAAATGTTTTGTGAATGTAGGATACTCCTATTAAGTTATTGAAAGTAAGCCATGAAATAAAAATCAAATTCAGGAACTTAAAATGGAGGCTGCATATTTAACGATAAAAATATTATTTACATATGATTTTGAGTTGTGTAAGGCACAAGACCATCTTTTTATATCATTCCACTAGTAACATTCAGAGTATGTTTCAGTTATGTGTTGCACTTGGGACAAAAGAAATTCATAGGCATATTATATCCCTTAATTGCAAAGATTTAGGAGTGGTTATACACTTCAAAAAAATTTAAAGGTGTGGTGCAGTTTGTATGCACATTCAGGCTTCAGGATTTTGTAAGCTCATTAGCACTCCTGGTTTGCAACAGTTGTCTGGAAATCCCCTAAAAGAACCAAGTAATACTCTCATGGTGCTTGATAGTTTTTTTGGATACTTGAGCGAGAAATATCTTCAAAATTTCCCTGGGCTATCCATTCTTACCCAGAAGTGCAATGTCTAGGAATGTGCAGCAATGAAAGCATATGTACAGCTATAAAAGAAAGTGATTGAAAGATTTAAGCAAACATTTTAAACATTATTTTCTAATACTTCCTCAAAAAAGAACGTTTTTTAAAATGAAGTCAGTAAGTAGAAGTTAAATTAATATATTCTCTTTTTTTCTGTAAACTATTTAATTGCCCTGAAGATTTTGCCATTAGATTTGTTTTTATTTTTTGCTGATATTTCTTTTATTGTTTATTTTGTGATACGCATTTATTTTAGAGAGAGTCATTACCTAAGTATACAATTTCTAGCTCTTCAGATTGTGGAGAGCACCTCAAAGATAACTGGATAACTAAATTAATAGCATTGCAGAGTCAGAACTTCTTCCAGCTACTTAAATCAATTCCACTTAAAAGCTCAGAAGATTTTGCTATTAATTGCTGTACAAGAAATCAGAAATAGCTACCTAAAGCACACAGTAATAGTTCATGGATATTTGTCCTGTATTGGTGTTCCATTCTGGACACATTGTAAAAAGCGTGTGTGATTTGCTTGTGTTATGAGTCACATAATCTTTGACTAGCTAGAAAAGCTTAGAATTTATTTGGTTTGAAAATGAAAAGGAAATTTTTTTTTCAGTACTATCGTCTTAATAAAGTCAGAGTTCTAGCTATCTCATAGCTTATAGAGTCTTGTGAAGTTATTATCTTTATTTTCATTTATCAGTCAGTCATTTTATCAATCCCATAACTAGTATTGTATTAATAATATTATTAATCCTATTATAACTAGTTAGAGAGCTAAAACTCATAACTCTAGTTACTTTCTAAAAGAAAATACAATCTTACGTGAAGATAAATAACATTGGCTGATCCTTTTTTTTTCTTTTAGAGGCACCTGATATGGCTTAAGACCTTTTCCAGTGCAATTCTAGTTAATCAAAGGTTTGACTATATTCCCCATCCTGTACATGCACAAAACTCCAAGCTGTGGACAGTGAGTGTAACTGTTATAAAATGGGCTTTGCAGGAGTGGGGTTGTAATACAAACTGCTGGTTACCAGAGGCAGCAGATCATGTCAGGAGCAAACTTAGTGATGCTTTGACTGAAGGAGGTTTTTTTTATCCATGTCACAGCTGCAACCCTCCGTTGTGGAATGCATCCTGCAGCAATTCGTGGTAAGCGTTGGCTAAATCCAGCTTCACCATTCGTACATCATTTGTGCCAAGGTCAACTCCTGTATAAATATCCTTCTGCCAGAAAAGCTGAAATATCTTCTGAGATCTTTGGCTAAACACTGCTATTCCTTGTAAATTAGGGTCAAGATAATCAGAAGATTCAGTAGTCCCACCTCACATGTGTTTTTTCAACATAGGGCGGAGGAAGTCAGAGTCCCAGCCCTTACTGTCAATGACCCAGTAATGCTGTTTTCCCTTCTAAAAATTGGACAGTATTGCTTTCAAATAGTCAAGCTCCACTGAGCCTAGATTTTTTTAAAAAGGCCTTTTTTCATCATCTTCTGAGCTACAAGTAACATCACTCATCAAATCAACCTTATACAGACCTATATATTTGATCTTTTCCCCAAACAGAGAAGTCTTTCTGTCTTTCTTTTCCTGGAAGCACTACCCTTGTGAAAACCACTTTTTCTTCCATTCTTCACCAGCCACTCTCTGAATTAGCTGTTCATCCTTTCTGTTTCTATATTTATTTCAGATGTCTTTTCTTCTAAAGGCAACATGTTTAGGCTACTTCTTGTTGCAAGAAGGCAATGGAGAGTAAATAGGAAAAGAGACTGTGTTAAAAAATATGTCAGCGGTCAGAAGCAATGTCATAACCCTCCTTTTAAACAGAAACACATCTTTTGCGTATATTTTTTTAGATGGAAAAGAGAGAGAAGGGAAGACAAGTTCCTGTGAGAACTGTACACTTGAATGGAAAGAATTGTCCTTGTAAAGTGAATTCTCTCTGGACTCGAAGGAGGTCTGTCCTGTGGATGAGGAGAAAGGGCTTGTGGCCTCAGTGGTTAGATTCCCCTGGGATCTGCTTCCCAGCCTCATCTGTGAGTCCTGCCCCAGCAGATACTGAATTTGCCTTACAAAGAGATAGGTGTGGTTGGTCCTTGAAGCCAGTACTGAGGTATAGCTGCTCAGGGAATGATCCTGAGCTGTGGGTGAGATATGGGGATGGGAGGAGGGAATAGTTATTTCCTGTCAGAAAAGGATGGTAATGCTAACCTTTCATCTAAGAGTCTATGTTGGAGAGCACATGTAGAATTGAAGGTCTGGAAGGTGGAGCTTAGAGCAGTTGGATACATTTCCAGCTCTCACCTCTAAGAGCCAAGAATTTTTTGGTCAAAAACACTAATGACAGGAGGCGGGTGTATCTTCTACCTTCAGTAAGTCTTTTTGAGAAGCTACTGTCAGATCTTAAGGAGAAATACAGTCATCTTCTCTGTCAGACTTAGTACATGCTGAATCCCTGTTTCACCTCAGTAGTGGCACCACTAAAAACTGCGTTTCTTAAGCTGGACACAGCATTAGTAACAATATGTTACCACGTTTTCCTTTCTCTCAATATATGCAAGATAAATTCTCACTGTACCTATTCAGAGGAACAAAACACGAACTGTTCATTTTGTC